AGCGGTGGGTAAACAAGTGAGACATGTAATATTATAATTCTCTTTTATGGCTATATTTTTTAATTTTATTTGAACTATTTATATCATAATATGTCATAGTTTCTAGCTTAATCCTTGAAATTAAGGTTTATCATGTTATTTGATGCATGTGGTTTTTACCGAATTGGAATATTGTTTTAAAAAATAAAAATAATTTTATCAAATTGTATAAGAAAATTTTTGAGTGACATACCCTATGGTAAAATCCTAGGTCTGCCACTGCCGTTGAACTGAGTTTTTAGGACTTGTCTTAAACACTTCTTAGGTGTTATGAGGTCTTGGTAACATGTCTAGGCTTTGCCTCAAACAGATTTGCCATGAGCACCCCCGTTCTCTCCATTTCAAGAAAACCGTGAAAACCCCGATTTGAGAGCATGTTTTTCGAGCTGTTGTCCAAGCTTTGATCTTTTGGAGTGATATTTAATGGACACCTTCAAAACATCCTAGAGAAGGCGAATGCGGAAGTTATGCACTGACTGCTTTCAGCAGACTGAACCAAAGAAGAAAAGGTCAAAACTTGATCAAACAAAGTACAATTGAGCTCAAATTTCATTTTCTTGGGTTTTTGAGGTGTTTCCTTGCTTTGCTCTTGCTTCCGCTTGATGCGTTTGAGCTTCCTATCACTTTTCCAAGTCCTATAACCTTGTCATGACTACGAGGATTTGATTTTGTTAAAAGAGAGGAATTTTTGGGAAGTTTGGGACATAGACCAAGTTCTCATTTTGACGAATTTTAATTGACTCCATTTACCCCCTCTAGTTGGCTGCTCCGTCCTTTAAAGGTAGTCAACTGATTAGGTTCATTTTTTAAAGGACTGAGCAGGCGACCAGAGGGTGGTGAATGGGAGCCAATTCAAAAGTTCTTCACCAAGCGAGAGAAACTTGGTCTCTATCCCAAAACAACCCCAAAGCTCTCAAAAGCTCCAAAATCTCCAAATCGAGTTCATACAAGCCAACTGGTGACTGGATGGACTTACAAACACTCAACGATCACAGTAGAATACAAACGAAAGCAACGAAGCAAAGAAGGAAGTTGGGAGGCGGAAAACAAACCTAGGAAACTCACTAGGCCTACTTTTGAACCTTGCTAGGCCTACTTTGAAACCCGGTTAGGTCTACTTTGAACCTAGCCTAGCCTACTTTAATGTTTTCAACATCCAAAACCAAACTCCAAAAGGGCAAAATTCAAGCAAATGAAGTTCAATTAAGCTCAAATTTTTTAATATGATTCTAATGATGTTTATAAACTTTTCCCAAAAAATCAACCCTTGGAACCCTCAGAATCAACGCAAATATAAAATCCATCTTTGCACTTGTGGTTTTCTCAACTTTCCTCAAAATTCCAAATCTTTGTGTCATGAGGAATATGCCAAATCCAATGTATAGAGATGTTTCTCAGAGGTCATGGCACATTTAGAACAACCCTAAACAATCACAGGAACTCAGAATCAAGAAATCACAAGAAAGGCTCAATGTGACCGTGTCAACTTGATTGAATACTCAGGAAAATAAGTTTACATTGACAAGGTCTAGCCTCCTCTCTTCATCCTCCCACTTACAGATGAAAATCAGTCATGCAAAACAGTCACCCCTCTCTACAACTGACTTTCTAGACATTGAATGCTCTCGCTAGCCTAAACCAAATGACTAGAAGGGAGAAGTGTTGTCTTGGGGCAGCCACAATTCTTATTTATAGAGCCTATTATATATTCTAAGATTGCCCTTAGAAATTTCCCCGAACCACTTAAACCCAGGGGCAAAATGGTCCAAGTTGATTTCTGAACACCGGACGACCACGATCCCTTCACAAAGATGCTTCGCCTCGACGCAAGCTCTCTAGTGATTCCATGTGCCGCTTCGAGATCCTCCCCTAAGTTTCGAGGCCTAAACCCGGCAAACCTACCGCCCACGGTTTTAAGGCCGAAACCGCCAAACCCAGATGGAGTCGTGTGTCCGCTACGCTTCCTCCATAATCTCGACGTGTGTCACCACTTGTCCTTGACCATTGATCATCAAGTCCTCGTGCTCCAGCTGACTTGTCAACCGGCGTCTTGACTTGGTGAACACCGTCTACATCATCTCCATATGTACACTTGCTCGTCGATGTCCCCAGCTGTGTCAGCCACCCACGGTCTGTCCTCCGGCCCTCAGTCCCTCGGTCCAAGCCTTCACATCCATCCTTTACCACTCCCAGTTCATCGGCACGAACTCGCTTGACCTTCTCCATTGTCGTTGACCGTCTCAATGCTCCACACCTACACATCATAAGACAAGAAACATGTTGCACAATACCAATTCATGCAATGGTTAGTCTCAAAGACTAAACCAAAGCTCCCTCACCCTTGACAATCACACATCATCAACTCACGTGGGCACGTATCCACCTTGTGTTTGCATTTTCTTAAAATGCATCCACTCAAATTTCACACGGCTTTTGTCTATGAAGGTAGTCAACTGATGATAGCTGCTTGAACAAGTAGTGAAGGTATCTCGATCTAACACAGTAATGCTACTGGTTTTAGCATAGAGCCGACACTTATACGTGTTTATGACTGCTGGTACGGTTTTGGATTCGTGCGTCAGTGATAGTGGTTGCTACCACAACCAGTTGCCCACTATCGATTTCAAGTCCAACAGTGATGTCCAGTATAAAACCGGTGGTAATGGGCGCGGATATGCAGTGGTGATCCCTAATTATCAAATACGAAATTTGCAAAGAGGGGAAAAAGTTATTGAGTGCTGAGTCTAGTAAATCACAGATGACGCTTCTTTACACAAGATACGAGTCTGTCACCTGGCACCTGCATTGTACAAAATGCACTTCCTTCATAAAGAGGTACCAAAAAAATGGTCTTCGTTCAGAGACGGCGCAGCCAAACCAGAACGCCGTGCTGCGGGTGAAGCGTGAGGACGTTGTAGGGCGCGTGAACGTATGCCGGAGAGAGCTTAAACGCGAAGCGCTGCAAGATCATGCTGATGGCCAGCTTTGCCTCCAGCAGCGCGAAGTTCTGGCCGATGCAGATGCGTGGTCCCCAGCTGAAGGGGATGAAGGCGCCCGGGTCGCTGCACGCCTTGGACACGCCCTCGGCGAACCTCCTCGGGTTGAACTCGCCGGCGTCATCCCCCCAGAGGGCAGGGTCCCGGTGGATGAACATGATGAGCACCACAACCATGACATCCGGTGGGTACGTGACGCCTCCAAGCTCTGTCTGCTTGTGCGTCCGACGGTTAATAAACAACCCCGGAGGATAAAGACGTAGCACCTCATACAGCACCATCGTCACCTGTTGCAAAAGTACAAGATCAATCAAACAACAAAAAATAATGCTTACATAAGATTGTCGCACTAACACTTACAACTTTTAGACGACTAACACCACTGAAATCTGGACTGTTTTGCCCAAAGACTTCCAAAACTTCATCCCTGGCTTGATCTTGCCACTCCGGATGCATGCTTAAAACTAGTATTGTCCATGTCAGCAGGACCGCGGTAGTCTCCGTTCCTGCAAAGTAGAACAACTTGCATTCTTCGATCACTTCTTCTAGGGTAATTCCCCTGCTGGATTTTCCATCTGAATCTGTGTAATTCATGTTTGACTCTAATAGAATGCCGAGCAAGTCATCTTTGGTGGGTTCACCGTTCTTCATGGCCTCATGTCTCTTCTCTATTATTCCCCTTAGGATCGTCTTGATCTCCCTATCGATAGCCTTCATCCTTATGTTGTTTTCTGTCGGTAAAAGACTGTCGAGAAAGGTAAATGTGAGATCTAAGGATTACTAGAAACGTCTACAGGATAAATGTGAGATAGTAATAAGCATTATGGAGTAGTAGAGTTATATACGAGAATCCTGGGATGTGATTTGTCTTGAAAGCATTGGTAACGCGAACAACTTGTTCAGCTTGAAGTCTGAAAATTCGTCCACCTTCTTGGTAGCTAACACCGAAAACAGCTCTTGATATGCCATCCCCTGACAAATTTTGGAATTCAGACCATACGTCCAGCTTTTGTTCGACAGAATCAGCAACTAAGTTCTCCCATCTGCAAATTAGATCGCTGCAAGCTGCAGAGAACGCCGGCAACATCCCCTGCATCCATTTCTAAGATAATTAAAATTTCCCAGAAACCTAACTCAGGGAAATAAATAAATCGATCTTCCTTAATCCTTCTTACTTGTATTACGACGTTGCTTAGTGTTTAGTAGCACAACATTTGTGTTAAAAAGCACTAAGGCTTTATCAGTGCTAAGGAGTAGGCCACTTATTAGTTTCCATAAACCCAAGTCATATTTTGTGATCTACTGAATCAACTTCAAATCAAGCAGCAATGTTTGCAAATCAATCACAAAACTTTACTTACAGTTAATATAATACCAGGCAGGCAGCTAGCACAAATACAAACTGTTTCTGCAAATAACTAGATCAATCGACCATCCTTTTTCTCTAGCAGTATTAATTATAAGTGACCATCATACTACATGATTTCTCCATTTTAAGGTTAATAACAAGGCATATATGACATAGCAAACCAACAGCATTAGCGTCTCTTACTAAACTTACGTTTGGAAATTGTCATCAGTGCAATGGTGTCAAACTAAACATCGCAAATCAAAGATTGCCCCCAAGGTATTTCAGTGAAGAAGAAAAAAAACCTTGAGCTTCTCTGCATGAAAGGCCGGATTCAGAATCCTCCTATGCTTGACCCATTTTTCGGCGTCAAGAATCGCAACCCCACCAAATAGAAGCTTCGCGACACGAGTGATTATCTTTGTTTTCAAGAAGTTGCCATCTTTGTTCGACATAACTTCCCGGACCAGCTGAGGATCTGTGATCATAATTCTTGGGATCGTCCCGAACCACGTGAACGAGAGTTTACCTGCACTTTTCAGTTTGTTTGTTTCAGCAGCTTGACACAGTTTTGGTAACTTCAACAGAATGATCGGATTGCAGCTTAAAATGCATACCATGCTCCTTGACGGCACGGTGAAGGAGAGGGGAAACACGCGGGAAGAAGTCGTGGGGCCGGTCCGTGTGCACGGGCCTGGTCAGGGCCGCCGCCGTTAGCCGGCTCTCCTCCTTGAGGTCGCCCCACAGGAAGCGGTACTGGGTGCCCCTCAGGCCCTGCGCCCTGAGGGCCCGCTCCATTCGCCGGGGAGCCCACCAGGCGTACTCCAGCACCTGCACCGCCCACCACAGGACCAGTGCCGCTGCCACCCCGCCGAGCAGGCCCCATGGGGAGGCCTCGCGGAGCAGCGCCACGCAGTTGACCATGGCTTTGCTCGATCGTACTCGTACCGTGCCGGGTTGTGGAAAGGGAAGCAGCAGCAATATAATAACTGAGCAAAATTCTTAATTTTAGGTCGTGTAGTTGCTGGTTTCGCGGATTATTTGTCTGGACGTTCATGGCATAATGTTGGTGTCCATGTCGAAACGAACCCTTAGCTAGCACGAGTCTTTGTCAGATTTATATCTCTTATAAAGTTAATCATCACTATATGTGTTGTATCTTAACATATAGTCTTGTCATGCCACTAACTTTCAACATTTTAATGCAAGCTATCTACATCATCTTCCACTAATAATCATATCATGCCACTAACTTCCAACATATTAATGTAAGCTATCCACGTCATCTCAAGTTCTATCTCAATATGCAAAACATCTACGTCATCTTCCACTAATAGTTATGTCATGCCACTAAGAGCCTCTTTGGCAGGGCTCCTGCAGGGGCTTCAGCTCCGGCTCCTGCAGGAGCTGTGCCAAACGCCTGTTTTGGAAAGCGTTTCGCATGGGGAGCCGGTCAAGAGCCGGAGCCATTTTTTGCCTACGCAGGAGAAGCCTCAAAAACGAGCTTCGCGTGGCTCCTTACTGTGGGTTCACGTCATCTAGTGCGAAGGAGCCGTTTTGCCAAACGTTTTCCTGAACGGCTTCAGCTCCTCCAGAGGAGCTGCTCCTTCAGAGGAGCCAGAGCCGGAGCCATTTTCAGAGGAGCCAAAGCCCTGCCAAACAGGCCCTAACTTCCAACCTCTCAATGCAAGCTATCTATGTTATCTCAAGTTCTATCTTAACATGCAAGACATTCATGTCATCTTTCACTAATAGCCATGTTATGCCACTAACTTCTAACTTCTTAATACAAGCTATCCACGTCATCTCAAGTTCTATCTTAACATGCAAGACATCCACGTCATCTTCCACTAATAGCCATGTCATGCCACTAACTTCCAACCTCTTAATACAAAGCTATCCACGTCATCTCAAATTTTATCTCAACATGCAACACACATCCCATCATGTTTCACTAACTATCCATGTCATCTTTCACTAATAGACATGTCATGCCACTAACTTTCAACCTCTTAATGCAAGCTATATATCCATGTCATCTCTACTTAATTTCATTTTTTTTTTTTCGCAATCACCGCAGCAACACGCGGAGTATCATCTAGTTTTTGTTATGTCTGTTGTTCGGCATTTCTGGGATAATAGCTGTTTGCTAAAGAAGATAGATGTTAGATTAAACTACGTGATAATTTTTTGCAATATATCAGGTGCAAATCAACCAATCCTGTGCAAACTTAGAAACTACTAATCAAGACCACTATATGCTGATCCAATGAATGGGGTGAGGGGGCTTAAGCGTAAAAAAAAAGCCGGCGGGTGGGGGGCTTAAGTGCAAAAAAATCCCACCTCTCACCTCATCCATTAGATCAGCATCTAGTGGTCATGATTAGTAGTTTCTAAGTTTGTATAGGTTAGTTGGTTTGAACATGATACGTTGCCATAATTTTTATGGTGAGTCTCAAACAATTACCAGTGAGGAAAATGATAGTTTAGCTGCCCCCTTTACAGAAGCGGAGATTAAGGAGGTTGTATTTAGTTGTAATTCTGAAGGAGCAAAAGGTCCTGATGATCTCCCATTTCTCTTTTATCAGAAATTCTGGGATATTGTTAAGAACGATATATAGAGGAGAGTTGGATATACACAAATTAAACCAGCGGCTGAGCCAAGGCCCAACGACCCTGGGCGGCTACCCGGGCTGCCTTGCTGGCTTGCAATGCTGCTGACACCTTATGCCCAAATACATGGCAAGACTCGAAAGGGTGCTGGCTAGGACACAGGCAGCAGCAGCAGCAGAGACTAATAATGAGGGGGAGGAAGGCCGACGCGACACCACTGTTGGACATCACCACTCTCAGCAGGTTGCAACCATGCCACTGCCCTAGGTTTCTGAGTTCTCATTTTACAACAAAAATTGCAAATATCAGAGGGGAGGAGGCTTAGCCAGGCACGTAAATTTCAATTCTCTTATATATAGGGGTTAAATTGAATAGATGATCTACTACTATGGTTCACTTGAATTTGTCTTTAATTTTCATTCACTGAGCCACCGTGAACTTGTGTTCTAAAAGATTATTTTAGTATAAAAAATAAAATTATTATATAATTATGTGTACTATTTTTTCTGATCTTGTAAATATTAGTATGGTGTTATGTCTCGCCTAGGCTCTAAAAAAATCCTGGCTCCACCACTAGATTAAACTTTCCTTTAGTGACTTTGATTCTAAAAGTTAATGATGCTTGTAATACGAAATAGTTTAGACCTATTAGTCTAATCAATTGTAGTTTTAAGCTGTTTTCTGAACTCTTAGCAAATAGAGTTGGGAAAGTTGCACAAAGATTAGTGGCTACTAATCAAAGTAATTTTATTAAAGGTCGATATATTTTAGAAAGTGTGGTAGTTGCCCATGAAATAGTTCACAGTTTGCACAAGACAAAGGAGAAAGGTGTGATTCTAAAACTTGACTATGAAAAAGCTTATGATACGGTGAGTTTGGGATTTTCTGTTTGAAGTCCTTTGAGTCTAGAGGTTTTTCTAGTAAATGGACACAATGGATCAAACAGTTAGTTACAGGAGGTTCAATAGGGATAATGATCAATGGTGAAGATAGTTCATATTTTAAACTAGGTAAAAATGTCTCAGGCAAGGGAGATCGTTTATCCCCTCTGTTGTTCAATTTAGTAGGAGATGCTTTTTCTGGAATGCTAGACAGGGCTGCTAGATTACGCCTTATTAAAGGGGTCCTTCAAAACTTTAGAGAGGGAGGAGTAATTTCTCTCCAATATGTTGATGATACAATCTTATTTTCTAGTGCTGATTTATGTCGTCTTTTGAATCTAAAGCATGTTACTATGTGGTTTGAACAAATCTTTGGGATGAGAGTCAATTTTCATAAGAGTGAATTGATCACCTTGAATATAGAAGATGAGGAGACCCATAGAGATGCTCATACCTTTAACTATCCCATAGGCTCCTTCCCTTTAAAGTGTTTAGGTGTTCCTTTAGATCACTCTAAGTTGACTAGAGCTGATCTCCAGCCCTTAGTGGATAAATTTTTTAAAAGGATTGCTGGCTGGAGGGGAAAGCTTATGTCCTTGGTTGCTAGAGCCTTATTGATTAAAACATGTTTAGCTAGTATACCAATCTATCACCTTTCTTTCTTTAAGTTCCCTAAATGTGCCATCAAAATTTTGAATTCTCAAATGAGCAACAGCCTTTGGAATGATTTAGATGGTGCTCACAAATATCAACTAGCCAACTAGGAAATTGTAGTTATGCATAAGGATTTTGGTAGTCTTAGGATCTGCCTTTTAGCTTCTTAGATTAGGAGATATGACAAGGACAAGAATAAGCTTTAGAGAGAGATAGTTGACTATAAATATAATACTAGTAATACTAATTTTTTCAGTCCAATAATATAGGTGCTTCTTCTTTCTTCAAAGGTTTTATGTGGGCTGCCCAAGCAGCCAAGATAGGATACAGATGGGTCATAGAGAATGGTGAGAAGATTAGGTTTTGGAAAGACAACTGGTTAGGTACATCTAGTTTGGCAATCTAGTACTAGAAGCTTTATAGGTTTGTTAATCAAAAAATAGATTTGTAGCTAGTTTGTGGGATGGTGTGTCCGTTAAATGTACTTTTAGGAGAATGGGGGATGAAAATATGTTTTATGGAATGATGTTTGTCAGCTTGCCTCTACCAGGGAGGAAGAAGACTCCTTGGTATGGTAGTTCTCTTTTTTTGAAGGCTCAGTGGGGGAATTCCCCCACCTATTTTTTTATATTATATTAAGAATAACAATAAAGTACAGGAACATAGCAATAAAATACAGGTGCACAAGGTGTGCAGCAAAAGGGAGCTTGCAAGCTCAAGGAGAAAAACTACTAGTAACATTAGGCTAAATTCTCTAAATACATATTCAGGGACCTGCAAGGTTCGGTTTGGCCCTGATACAAATCAAGCCAATTTCTTCCTTAAACCGAGCTTTCCAGTTGTCCATGTTGCAAGGGACGTTGTCGAAAACTAGTCTGTTCCTTGAGGTCCATATGATCCAGCAAGCTGTAATGACAAGTTCTCTGAAGATGGCATTCCCAAAAGCTATTCTAGCTTCAATCATCATATCTAAAGGTGGGAGGTTCAGGTTCCAAAACATACCCAGATAAGCCCAGCAATCCTGACTGAAAGTACACTCAAAGAAAAGATGCATACAAGTTTCTTCCAAACCACTACTGCAAATTGGGCAGGAGTAGTCCTCCAAATATTTATTCTTCCTCCTCAACAGGTTTCTGGTGTTTAATCTATCCTTAAGTAAGATACAGAAGAAAAAATTATGCTTGCATAAGTTGCCTGCAATCCACATCCATTTGAACAATGGTGAGGAGTCTTGAGTGCCTTGCAGGAGTTTGTATGCTTTCTTGGAGCTAAAATTCAGAGAATTCCACTTGTAGGTCCAAGTATCCCAAGCCTGTTCATCACCACTATGTTGCAGAAAAACTTGCAGAGTTGCCAACTCCTCTGAAGCTTGAACTGATAAGGGGAGTGTGAAGTTTCTGCTATCATCACTCTCCATGAAGAATTTTAAAGAGCATTTTTGCTTCTTGGCAAAGGAAAACAGATGAGGAAATATGTCACTAGGACTAGGGTTCAGCCTGTTGTCCTTCCAAAGGAGAATAGAATTACCCATATTAGGCTTGCAAATTGTCATATTACTAAAATCATGGTAGAGTTTGAGTACGTCCTTCCACCAGAAGGAGCCAACAGGGGATCTTGCATGTGGGGGACACTACAAGAAATGTGTGGTTTTTTGACGTATTTAGTATGACAACAGGTCATAATGTCATTATATCATCCAGTTTATGACATTATGTTTTAGATATTTTGACTTAGTGACAATAAAATGTTGTATGTCAAAAAAACGTCATATAACTA